GATTTTTTTGCACCCTCAGATTCCAGATTTTCAAATAGTTGCATCTCGCCCAATAATATCCTATCCTAACAAACCATACATCAATGGAAAGCTTATTTATTCAGCTTTCAGATTATGTATAAATCTCAATTTAAAAAAATTGACCCTTATGACTTGTTTTGTGGACCAGGGTCACATATAAAAAGTTCTTCCATTACAAATGTAAAAGCCCTTTTGCAACAAAAGTGAAATTAATACACCTCAGGCTGAAGGAAATGTAAATTCATGTCTGTACAGTAGAGGGCACAGCTCAAACAAATTGCAAAAGAATATGACGCAGAAGAAAGTTGAACACTATTCAGCAATAACAAAAACGAAACATAAATGTGCCACTTTTGCTTAGTATGGTTGAACTGGATCATCGAAAGTCAGTAGCAAAGACATTGGTTAATAAAATGGAATTAAATACATAAATGATATTTGTATTATTTAAGATATTTAACTATTGCAGGTTTGTATTCTGAGTTTGCATTTGACTGTCTTTATTCATTTTGAAGAATACTGCATCTGTTTTTGTGCAGGTGAGATGAGTAAATGCATGTTCATATTTAGTCTAGAACTACAGTAAGCATCATGTTCACACACAACGCTCTGCACTTACTCCCGATTTCTCTCAACATGGCAACACGAGAGCTGCCAGTCAAGACATGGGAAACAAAGTAACTGGCGTTACTTATTTGAAAAAGTAACTCAGATATTTCCTTCTGGATTAAAAAGTAATGCCTTACTTTACTAGTTACTTTAAAAAAGTAATCTGATTACGTAACTCGCGATACTTGTTACTACTGTATATATATATATAATTTTTTTATGACTCACTGGAGCAGTATTTAAAATGAACTAGTGTTGAGGTGCTTTAAAAAGTTCTCGACCCAAGATACCGTTTTTTTGTTGTTGTTAAAAACAGGAAAAAAAAAACTAATTACATTATGCCAACTTCCCCTACATATAAACATACATATTCAGCATAAACATTTAAATGTTAAATTAATATACATTTGTATATGAGATATTCTTTTATCTAATATGCTAATGTATATTAATCTATTACGTTTTAGAGTAATTTACATTAGAGTAATTTAGTAATATAAATTACTGTAATGTTATATGTGAGTGTTTATAAATATAAAAATGTCTAATGGAAACATTATGCATCTACTTTCCCTTTACATAAACATACACATATATTTAAATATGTAAAATTAATATACATATATTTAGTATATTACATATTCTGTTAAAGTTATATATATATGTGTGTGTGTGTGTGTGTGTGTGTGTGTGTGTGTGTGTGTGTGTGTGTGTGTGTGTGTGTGTGTGTGTGTGTGTGTGTGTGTGTGTGTGTGTGTGTGTGTGTGTGTGTGTGTGTGTGTGTGTGTGTGTGTGTGTGTGTGTGTGTGTGTGTGTGTGTGTGTGTGTGTGTGTGTGTGAAAAGAATATGACGCAGAAGAAAGTTGAACACTATTCAGCAATAATAAAAACGAAACATAAATGTGCCACTTTTGCTTAGTATGGTTGAACTGGATCATCGAAAGTCAGTAGCAAAGACATTGGTTAATAAAATGGAATTAAATACATAAATGATATTTGTATTATTTAAGATATTTAACTATTGCAGGTTTGTATTCTGAGTTTGCATTTGACTGTCTTTATTCATTTTGAAGAATACTGCATCTGTTTTTGTGCAGGTGAGATGAGTAAATGCATGTTCATATTTAGTCTAGAACTACAGTAAGCATCATGTTCACACACAACGCTCTGCACTTACTCCCGATTTCTCTCAACATGGCAACACGAGAGCTGCCAGTCAAGACATGGGAAACAAAGTAACTGGCGTTACTTATTTGAAAAAGTAACTCAGATATTTCCTTCTGGATTAAAAAGTAATGCCTTACTTTACTAGTTACTTTAAAAAAGTAATCTGATTACGTAACTCGCGATACTTGTTACTACTGTATATATATATATAATTTTTTTATGACTCACTGGAGCAGTATTTAAAATGAACTAGTGTTGAGGTGCTTTAAAAAGTTCTCGACCCAAGATACCGTTTTTTTGTTGTTGTTAAAAACAGGAAAAAAAAAACTAATTACATTATGCCAACTTCCCCTACATATAAACATACATATTCAGCATAAACATTTAAATGTTAAATTAATATACATTTGTATATGAGATATTCTTTTATCTAATATGCTAATGTATATTAATCTATTACGTTTTAGAGTAATTTACATTAGAGTAATTTACTAATATAAATTACTGTAATGTTATATGTGAGTGTTTATAAATATAAAAATGTCTAATGGAAACATTATGCATCTACTTTCCCTTTACATAAACATACACATATATTTAAATATGTAAAATTAATATACATATATTTAGTATATTACATATTCTGTTAAAGTTATATATATATGTGTGTGTGTGTGTGTGTGTGTGTGTGTGTGTGTGTGTGTGTGTGTGTGTGTGTGTGAGTGTGTGTGTGTGTGTGTGTGTGTGTGTGTGTGTGTGTGTGTGTGTGTGTGTGTGTGTGTGTGTGTGTGTGTGTGTGTGTGTGTGTGTGTGTGTGTGTGTGTGTGTGTGTGTGTGTGTGAGATGTGGTGATTAAATGATTAA